GCGATCTCAGCTCACTGCAACCTCCGTCTCCTGGGTTCCTGGGTTCAAGCGATTCTCCTGCCTCAGCCTCCCAAGTAGCTGGAACTATAGGCATGTACCACCACATCTGGCTAATTTTTGTATTTTTAGTAGAGACGGGGTTTCACCATGTTAGCCAGGCTGGTCTCAATCCCCTGACCTCGTGATCCGCCCGCCTTGGCCTCCCAAAGTGCTGGGATTACAGGCGGTCATTTTCTTCACTTTATCAGCCCATGGTGCAGGATCCTCTGCAGAGAGCCCTCCTGGGTGGTGGTGTCTCTCTTTGCCTGCTGTGCTCTGACCCCCAGGCCTCAGGGACCTCCCACCTCTCACCATTGCTCCAATGTCAACTCTTGGGATTTACAAACGCCCGTCCTGCAAGGCCCACCCCTCCAAGTGCCCCATCTTTGGCACAAGCTACAGTTCCTACCCAGACGTATTTTTTTCTCCCCCAAACCTATAAGAGAACTTGCCTCTTCTGGAAGTCCTGCTGACTCCCCTCCCCAGGTGGCAGCTGAGCCAGCGGTTTCTTGGGGCTTGGGCTGCGTAGCTTCGCAGAGACTCCCAAGGCATTGAGTGTGGAGGCATCCTCCGCACCCCACCCCTTCCTACCCCTGAGAGGCCAAGACCAGGCCTCCACTTCCTTTGTCTTAACAGTGCCTTAGACCCTGCGCTGCACGCAGGGGTTTGCAGGCCACACATGATATTCCCTGACCTTCTGGGATGCTCATGACCACACCTAGGGCAGCAGAAGGCCTCATGGGGCTTGGCCAGGTTCTCACGTACCTGAGCAGAGGAGGGCCAGAGCTCGGCCACTTTTCTGGGGCTTGATTTTGCTGAAGCACTGCTCCAGAGAGGTACAGCTGGAGTTCTGGATCTTCCATTGGATAGGCAAGGGCCTCCGTTTCCACGGCTCCCCTGCGTCTTGGGTTCTAGCTGCCTCGGGCTCTGGCAGATGCTTCAAGAAGGAGCCACACTGGAGGCTGTCGCAGAGGAAGTTCTCCAGGTCCTGGGTCTTGTCCTGGGCCTCATAGATGATAGTGCCCCCCAGGCTGCCGCTGTAGAACTCCACCACGCCCGCACAGTGCCAGCCCCCAGGCTGTGCCACCAGCTGTAGCCTGGGAGGAGCTGGGAGAGGAGAGAGCGGGAGGGGGAGCCGGCCTGAGCGCCCAGGGCTTCCTGGGCAAGCACGTGGCACTCCTTGCTGCTTGGCCCCAGCGTGTGGACAACTGCTGACCAACTCTTGGCCTTGGGAGGTGGTGGGGTCCCGAATATTGCATAGCACACGCCAATACTAAACATTTCCACCTTTATCGGAAATTCACATGCAACTGGGCATCTGGGGTTTTTATTCGCTAGCTCTGACTCCCCACGGAGGGTGTAGAATCCTCTTACCTGTGGGCTCCGGAGTTGTGGTGGGCGGGGGCCTTGTGGGTGGAGGTGTCGTCATCTGGGGCTCTGCAATGAGACACTCTGGTGAGGGAGGAATGTGGTGTGGGCGGGGCTGGGGGCAGCCGCAGTCTTGAAGAGACCGGGAGCTCTGCCGTGAGTACCGCTTGCCATGCTAGGCCCGCTCGATCCACACGTTGCCTCTAACCCTCCTTCTTCGAGGCGGGAAGCACCACCCCACTTCACAGTTGGGACAATCGAGGCTCAGAGGTGCCGATGAGGTCAGCGACTGGCAGAACTAAGTCCCCTATTGTCATCCTACGGATGGGTGCTGGCCCCTTCCGGTCCCCGTTCTGTGTATATGTCTTGGGGAGTGGTTATAAACTGGGGTCCCCCACCCCTTCCACCCACCTGCTCAGCCCCTCCATCACAGGCCTTAGGCAGTCTCCTTGGGGCTGGTGCCCAGGCCCAGGGTGCCCATGTGGCTGGCTAGTTACCCACCTAAGCAGATCAGGCCCAGAGGTTGACACGGGTCTGTTCTTCGGTAGCTGCAGTTGGAGAAGGAGCCCAGGTATCCATGGCAGATGACTGGACTCTGATGTGTGAAGGTGATAGGGAAGGGGCCAAGGCTGAAGGCCATCCCACAGTGCAGCTGATGGCAGACTTTTGACACTTGTCTGGGATTCTCCCAGTGGTTGGGGCTCCTGCCCCAGCTCTGGCTGCAAACCATGTGCCACTTGTCCTTGATGTAGACCTCCAGCTGGCCCTGGCACCTTGAGTTGGAGCTGGTGAGCCTCACCTGGAAATCTGGGGGTCAGAGAGGTGTGGTGGGGGTCAGGCTGGGAGGGGCTCCTCACTGGGACCCCTCACTGCCCTCTTCCTACCAGGTCCCATGCCCACCCAAGCTCCGTTCTGCCCTGTGGGCTATCTGCCTCACCCCTTGTGAGCTTCGTCCCTTCTGGGGCACTGCAGGGCTTCCCAGAACCTCAGGCTAGGGCGACCCTGACCCAGGCAGCCCTGAAGCTTGACTCAGGAGGGTGGGGCTCCAGATTTCAGAGCCAGATGGGAGCTCAGAGAAATGGGCAAGGTATTCTCACCACCCACCATCCAGCTGGATGGCCCCTGTCCTGGAAATTCTGTCTCAACGGGTCTGAGATTGGGGTGTCTGCTTCTTAAAAGATCTTTAAAAATTAATTTTAGGCCAGGCGTGGTGGCTCATGCCTATAATCCCAGCACTTTGGGAGGCTAAGGCGGGTGGATCACTTGAGGTCAGGAGTTTGAGACCAGCCTGGCCAACATGGTGAAACCACATCTCTACTAAAAAAAAAAAAAAAAAAAAATGCTGGGTGTAGTGGTGTGTGCCTGTAATCCCAGCTACTTCGGAGGCTAAACCAGGAGAATTGCTTGAACCTTGGAGGCAGAGGTTGCAATGAGCCAAGGTCACGCCACTGCACTCCAGCCTGGGTGACAGAGGGAGATTCTGTCTCAAAAAAAATTAATTTTATTGAGGTACAATTTACATACAGTGAAACACATTCATTTTAAGAGTACTCTTTGATGGAATTTCATATACAAACGTATACCTGCATGTAACCACCACCATAATCTACATATGGAACATTTCCATCATCTAGAAATTTCCGTAATGCCCCTTTATAGTTGATTTCCCTGAATCCAGCCTCAGGTAAACACTGATCTGCTTTCTGACCCGAGAGATGAGTTCTGCCTGAGCTGCAATGTCATAGACATGGAATCACGCAGCACGTATTTTATTTTGTTTGGGCTTTTTTTGCTTAGCATGTGTTTGAGATTTAGCTACATCGCTGCACGCATAAGCAGTTCATCCCTTTTCATTGCTGAGTGATAGTTCACTATATGAGCATGATACATTTGCTTTCCATTCACTATTTGGTTTGTTTTTGGGTTTTGCCTGCTATGAATAAAGATGCTGTGACCTTCACATACAGGTCTTTGTGTGGGGATGTTTTCATTTCTCTTGGGTAAACACCTAGGAGTGGAATGCTGGGTCATTGGTAGACATGTGGCTTGTGTGATTTTATCAAACTCCATGAGGGGAAAAATATGCATGTGTGTGTGCTCTGTGTGTGTGTGTGTGGGGTGTGGTGTGTGTGTGGGAGGGTGTGTGTGGTGGGTGTGTTATGTGTATATGGTGTGGTTGTGGGGTATGTGTGGGCTGTGTGTGTGTGGTGTGGTGGGGTGTGTGTGGTGTGGTGTGTGTGGGGGTGTGTGTGTGTGGTGGGTGTGTTATGTGTATATGGTGTGGTTGTGGGGTGTGTGTGGGGTGTGTGTGTGGTGTGGTGGGGTGTGTGTGTGGTGTGTGTGTGCGTGTGTGTGTGTGGTGTGTGTATGGTGTGTGGGGTGTGTGTGTGTGTGTGTGGTGTGTATTTGCATAAAGAGCTTCTTGAAGAATATGCAAGAAACAAACGTGGTCATTACCTGGGGTGCTGGGGTCGTCGTGGGGGTGACTGGGACAGACGGGAATAGAGATGGAAGTGAAGCTCTTCACTACAGATCTTTACATTTTTTAAAATTTTGGAGCTAGATAAATGTGTCACTGATTCAAGAAACTTTTGGAAATGTGAAAGGCTCTCCCAGGTGACTCAGGGGGAGTTTTTCCCTGGTCAGGAACCACTGGTCAGGCTGCCCTTTTCTTCTGACGAGGACACTCTGGGGCCACAGCTCAGGGCCAGGGCTTGCGAAGGACACTTGACTAGTTAGAGGCAGAGCAAGCGCGTGCCAACACCTAGCATTGTTGGGGCGCTTTGCAGGCTGTCTGCCCAGCAAGCTGATTCATTGCAGCTTCACCAGGCGAGAGATTTTCCTCCCATTTCACAACGGGGGAAACTAGGGCTCAAGGAGGTCAAGCTGTGTGCCACAGCTTGGAGCCAGGATGTCAGTGCAGGGTCCAGCTCGGGCTCAGGGCCTGCTAAGGCCCCTGTCACCCCTCTGGCTGCACAGTGGCTTCTCAAGACCCTTCAGCCACAATTCTCCCCAGATACATTCAGCACGACGTTAGCCTAGTCAATGTGAAGGAGAGGTCTGTGGTGAAATAAGGTGGAAACTGCTGGGTTAAAAAGTGTGATAAATTTCTTCACTGCAGGACTTCTCAGAGCCTTTACTGGGCTGGTGCACACTGTCAGTCTCCAGCGGGAGTTGGCGTTGCCTGCCCTTTGTTCAACATGCACCATGGAACCCTATTTGGGAAACAGCCTCTAAGACTAAAGTCCAGCCTCTGGGGCTGGGCATTCCACACACTTGATAATCAGTCTGCAGCCTCTCTCTGCATCTCTGACCATGGGGTGTCTGGTAGGATTGGGTAGGAAACATGACTTTGCAAGGAACATTTATGAGCTGGGATGTTTTCTGTGCGTGGTGAGCAGGTCATAATAATAATTATCCTGAGATCTGGCATTTGTGGGTGATTCACAGCTGTTGAGGGGACCCACGTGGACGTGAGCATCTTACATGTGCGTGTGTCTGCATCTGTGTGTCTGTGTATGCTGGGGGTCACTCTCTGTGTAGGGTGGGGTTCACTCTGGCAGACGTGATGGCTTCATCCAGAGGTTCCCTATGGACTGATGAAACCGAGGCCCCACTCTCCCCTTGCCCCAGGCCTTTCTCCATGAGGCTCTTCCTTACCTGGGTCCTCCCAGCTGAGCTGTCCGAGGCAGGAAGTGACTGCAGAGAGGAAAGAAGAGGGTCAGGAAGTGAAGCCTCCCACCCTGTCCCTTCTCCCAGCTCACCCACCCGTGGCCTGAGCAATGGACCTTTCTTCCTCTGGCCTCCAAGTATCATGGGTTTTACAGACAGGAATTTTCATACTCCAAGTCGGAACCCCTGAGTGACAGGAATTCTATTTAGTGGGTTGCAGCCATCAATTTTTTTTTTCTTAAAAAACTTTACTTTTAAACTGGACATACATGAAATCTATTTTTTTAACTGCATGAGTCCATGAATATCACATATATACATGAATGTGACCACCAGCACAATCAAGGCATACATCAGTTCCATCACCGCCTACCTCAGATTCTCTTATTCTAACCCATATAAGCATGTAACCATCAATTATTGTTATGATTTTTTGAGACAGGATCTCACTCTCCTCACCCAGGTTGGAGTGCATGGCGTGATCATGGCTCACTGCAGCCCCAACCTCCCTGGCTTACAGGATCCTCCCACCTCAGCCTCTTGAGTAGCTAGGATGACAGGCCACCAGGCCCTGCTAAATTTTTTTACAATTTTTTTTTAATAGAGTTGGGGGTCTCACTATGTTGTCCAGGCTGGTTTTGAACTCCTGGGGTCAAGTGATCCTCGTGCCTCAGCTTCCTGAAGTGCTGGGATTACAGGTGTGAGCCATGGCATGTGGTCCATCCATTTTTTTAAAAATTGAAATGGAATAGAATAGAGAGACCGTGCACAGTGGCATATGACTGTAATCCCAGCACTTAGGGGGCCAGGGTGGGAGGATCACTTGAGCCCAGGAGTTAGACCCTGCAGTGAGCTACAATCGTGCCACAGCACTCTAGCTTGGGTGACAGAGTAAGACCCTGTCTCAATAAAATAAAAAATAAAATAAATAAAATAGAGAATGTCAGAATGCACTGTGCATTTTGAGGGTAAGGGTCACTTTTTGCGTGTTGGGGGTTGTAATGTAAAAATGTCCTGTGTGTTGCTTCCACTGAAAAAAGTTTTAGCTCCTTAGTTCTAGAGGATGGAGAAATGAACCAGAGAGGGGCCAAGCACAGTGGCTCACGCCTGTAATCCCAGCGCCTTGGGAGGCCGAAGTGGGCACATCACTTGAGATCAGGAGTTTGAGACCATCCTGGCCAATATGGCGAAACCGTGTCTCTACTAAAAATACAAAATTTAGCTCGGGGTGGTGGTACATGTTTGTGATCCCACCTACTCGGGAGGCAGAGGCAGGAGAATTGCTTGAACCTGGGAGGCAGAGGCTGCAGTGAGCTGAGATCGCACCACTGCACTCCAGCCTGGGTGAGAGGGTGAGACTCTGTCTTTAAAAAGAAAAAAAAAAGAAAAGAAAAGAGCCAGAAAGGGAACCCAAGACAACATTTGCTACTTTCAAGCATTTCCAAGACAGGATAAGAATGACAGCCACTTGTCGTTAATAGCTGCCCATTTCTGGAGAAGACCAAGCTTAAAGAGATGGCGGGACCCGGCTATGGTAATGTAGCCAGCCGGCTGGCCAGGGAGGCAAGGCCACAGGCCCAGGGTACAGGGGTCTGCAGGGAATCAGCCTTCCCCCATGTGGGCCACGGGGAAGCTCCGCCTCCTTGTAGCCCTGTCTCGCTGTGGAGCAGGGGCAAAGTGGCCCATTGCCGGGCTCTCAGCAGAGCGGCAGCCGGCTAGCTTATCTGTGGCTGGGGAAGGTGTTTAATCTGGGTAGGGACGAGGTGGAGTAGCAACTTCATGTGGCTTCAAAGCTTAACCTCTGTGTTTACCACCCAGCGTTATCAGTTAGGAAGCAGGTACAATATTTTCATTTCCATCTGTCTGACTTGGGCTTACTCTTGGGTTTACGGCATTGGGTCAAGGAAACTGCTTTATATATTAATACTGAAAGGCTGTGTTCAAATTGCTTGTGAGAAATTGTTGCTGGGTGTTAAAAAATAGGTGTGTTTAGCTGGGCTGGTTGCTCAAGGCTACAGTCCCAGCTACTCAGCAGGCTGAGGCAAGAGGATCACGTGAGCCTAGGAGTTTAAGTCCAGCCTGGACAACATAGCAAGATCCCATCTCTTAAGAAATAGGTGTGTTTTGAAAAAGCTGTCCTTGCCCCTGATTCAAGACTCCTTGTAAAGAAGCCGTCATGGCCTGTGATAAGTCTCCCCTGAATCTGCAAGATCCCATCCCTGTTGTTGCTGTAGGAGTCGTGGGTCTTGGAAGAGGAAGGTTATTCTCATCAATGGGGAAGTGTGCAGAGCTTTGGCCCAGGTGAAAAGGGATGGTCTGGTTGTCAATCATCTGATCAAAAAAATTTTTTTTTTTGAGACAGAGTCTTGCTCTGTTGCCCAGACTGGAATGCAGTGGCACGATCTTGGCTCACTGCAGCCTCCACCTCCTGGGTTCAAGCAGCTCTCCTGCCTCAACAGGCAGCATCACCCCCAGCTAACTTTTGTACTTTTAGTAGAGACAAAGTTTCACTGTGTTGGCCAGGATCGTCTTGAACTCCTGACCTCAAGTGATCCAACTGGCTCAGCCTCCCAAAGTGCTGGGATTACAGGCATGAGCCACCGCGCCCAGCCAATCATTTAATCTACTGCAGGCAGGGCAGCCTCAGGAGGCTGTGGGGGAGATGTCCAGCCAGCATGAGAGATCAGGAAGGAGGCCCTTTTGCCCTGCCCTCGCCTCTTACTCCTGACCTCTTATTCCCATTTCCCTCTCATCCCAGCTGCCCATCAGCAGGGCAGTCTGCCTTGAAGGAGTCATCCCTCTGGCTAAGTCTCAAGGGCTAAGGCAGCTTGATGTGGCATCTATGTTGAGTGGGGCTCCGAAGAACTGCTCTTCAGTGCTATACGACTCAGGATGGGTTTTCAGTCACTGGTAACTTTCTATTGCTCCGGTTCTGAGTATCGGCTCTGCCACTTCCTGCCTACAGAGTCTGGGGAACAAGTCTCTCCTCTCTCTGTGCCTCTGAGCCTCGATTTTCTCATTCATAGCATGAGGATGAGAATGGGACTAGCTTTCTAGAGCTGTTGTGAAGCTGAGATGAGCTAATCTATGTAAAGGGCTTAGCCCAGTGCCTCCTGGCCTGTGTTCAGTGCTCAGAGCGGGTGTTACTGATCTGTAGAGGAGGCTGGGCCTGGCGAAGGTGTGCCCAGGGCGGCAGACACTCAGGGAGCTCTTCCACTGGGAGGGTTCCTCGTCCAGGAGCACAGAGAGCCAGACCATGGGGCTCACCACTTCCTTCTCCTAACTTGGAAACTTCACACACATGGTCGAGACAGGATGGTTCAACTTACAATGTTTCAAGTTTGCAGTGGGTTGATTGGGGTATTAAATGAATTTTTAACTTAGGATGGGATCTTTGAGAGGTAACCCCACTGTAGGTCAAGCAGCATCGATTTCTCCACTCACCATACTCAACATTCATTATTAATAGCAGCTGCCAACTGTTGAGCACCTGCTGCATACTTAGCTCTCGGGATGGTTCATCAAGATATTGCTGTTAATCTTCCGCACAGCTCCATCACGAGAGTTGAGTACGCTCCTGGTATCAGTGTCAAGAGAGGGCAAATGCCCTGTCCTGGGTGATATGGCTGGCAGGTGGCGTCAAACCATGTGTCTGACTCCAAAACCCATGCTCTCTGCTTCCAGCCACCCCATTGCTGCTCCTCCAGGTTTGGAGATGCAGAGATGAACACCACCTGGATCTGACTGGAAGCGCTCGTGCAGCCAGACCCTGAAGCCCTGGGGGCAGGTACTGGGCCTGACAGCGTTGGCAGATTCCACAAAGAACAGCCTTGGCCTTGCTCAGAGAACATTCTCGGGAAAGACTGAACAAGCTGGAGAGCCAAGTGAAATCCTTTAAAAAATGTTCTAACAAGTGCTTTAATAAAAAAGATATTTAAGGCTGGGTGCAGCGGTTCGCGCCTGTAATCCTAGCACTTTGGGAGGCTGAGGTGGGCGGATCACAAGGTCAGGAGTTCGAGACCAGCTTGACTAAGGTGGTGAAACCCTGTCTCTACTAAAAATATAAAAAAATTAGCCCAGTGTGGTGGTGGATGACTGTAATCCCACCTACTTGGGAGGCTGAGGCAGGAGAATCATTTGAACCCGGGAGGCAGAGGTTGCAGTGAGCCAAGATCACGCCACTGCACTCCAGCCTGGGTGACAGAGTGAGACTCTGTCTCAAAATAAAAAAACGATATGTATGCGTTCTAGGGTGTTGCCCTGGAACCTCCCCCCAGGGGCCTGTCTGGTCCCCAGATGAACAGCGCTTCCTCTCGTCTCCCCTCACCACCATCGCCATCACCAACACTAAATGTTTTCACTCTTCCAGGCCTTTTACACATGAACTCTCCCAGTTCCCACCACAGTGCTATGAAGTAGGTACTATTATTTTGGTCCCAATTTTACAGACAAACTGAGAGGGGTTAAATAACTCATTCAAGCAGCTAGTGAGTGCTGGTGCCCGAACTCCACCCCAGCCTTCTGGCACCGAGTCTGAGCTTTTCCCAGCAAGGCCCCAACTGCCTCCCTTCCCTCCAGCGGGAAGCCCATGATGGCCTGCCCCGGGCTTCATTGATTCCTGCATGGCCCTGGTGTGCAATCCTGATCAAAGGGAATGAACTTGTGATTCTGTTTAGTCAATTAAACCTGCAGTGGGAAGACTTAGCTATGAACGTGCTGTGTGACCTTGGCAAGCCACTCAGCCTCTCTGGGCTCAGTTTCTTTGTCTGTAAAGTAAGGAAGTTAAATTCCACAATCCCTCACCTTCCCCTTGGTTCAAACACCTGTGATCTGTAATCTTTAGCTCCTGATGGATTTCAGCTGCTGGTGGAGGGAAGGCAGAGGCAGGCAATGAGAGGCCTGGCTGACTTGGAAGCTTTCTGGGTGTCTAGTGTATATTCTTTCTGCCTGTCCACGAATATGTTCAGGTTTTGTTTGTTTGTTTGTTTGCTTGTTTGTTTTTTGCTTATAATCTAGGGGACAGAATG